GTGAGCAGAAATAAAATTAGTCCTTAGAATGAGAAGACTGGGGGTGGCCGGAGTTAATCCTTGATAAGATAAAACTGCTTTTGGCAAATGACATACCTTCCAAGAAAACAGAGGGTGGGTGGGCGGGGCTAGTCCATGATAAGATAAGACTGTCTTTGGCGAATGACATATCTTCCAAGAAAATAAGGGCGGGTGGGCGGGGCGAGCATTTTATAATATATGGTTGATTTTGACACTTAACCATTTTTTAACCGTTTTCGAAAATTAGGTAGACATTTTCTTGTAGATTTCGACGTCCAGAAATCAATTCGGCCTCATTTCTTCAAAAATTGCTATCGTTGTACCAAAATCGTCATTTGAAATATAGCAATTTCTACAGTCGCATAATTAGCAAATTGTATAACAAAAAAATTACGATTGGCCCTTTATTTTACTTTTTTACGTCTTAGAATCCATTAGTTTCCACTCCCACTCCATAGAAAAACATTATTAGCCCCGCCCACCCACCCTGCCTTCATTTCAGTGATTGATTTTATGCGGTCTGAATAAAATGAATGATCATATAGTGAACAGAAATACAATTAGTCCTTAGAATGAGAAGACTGGGGGTGCGCGGGGTTAATCCTTGATAAGATAAAACTGCTTTTGGCAAATGACATACCTTCCAAGAAAACAGAGGGTGGGTGGGCGGGGCTAGTCCATGATAAAATAAGACTGTCTTTGGCGAATGACATATCTTCCAAGAAAATAAGGGCGGGTGGGCGGGGCGAGCATTTTATAACATATGACTGATTTTGACACTTAACCATTTTTTAACCATTTTAGAAAATTATCTAGACATTTTCTTGTAGATTTCGACGTCCAGAAATCAATTCGGCCTCATTTCTTCGAAAATTTCTATGGTTGTATCAAAATCGTCATTTGAAATATAGTAATTTCTATAGTCGCATAATTAGCAAATTGTGTAACAAAAAATTTACGATTGGCACTTTTTTTTAGTTCTTTTACGTCTTAGATTCTATTCGTTTCCACTCCCACTCCATAGAAGAACATTATTAGCCCCGCCCACCCACCCTGCCTTCATTTCAGTGATTAATTTTGAATGATCATATAGTGAGCAGAGATAAAATTAGTCCATAGAATGAGAAGACTGGGGGTGGGCGGGGTTAGTTCTTGATAAGATAAAACTGCTTTTGGCAAATGACATATCTTCCAAGAAAACAGAGGGTGGGTGGGCGGCGCTAGTCCATGATAAGATAAGACTGTCTTTGGCGAATGACATATCTTCCAAGAAAATAAGGGTGGGTGGGCGGGGCGAGCATTTAATAAGATATGACTGATTTTGACACTTTTGAGATTTTCGACCATTTTTTAACCATTTTCGAAGATTAGCTAGACATTGTCTTGTAGATTTTGACATACAGAAATCATTTTCGGTCTTATTTCTTCGAAAATTTCTATCGTTCTATCAAAATCATCAGTTGAAGTATAGGAATTTTTAGAATGGCAGCAGCAAACAGTATAACAAAAAATTTACTTTTGGGTTTTTTTTTTTTACTCTTTTTACATCCTAGATTCTATTAGTTTCCACTCCCAATCCATAAAAGAACATTATTAGCCCCGCCCACCCACCCTGTCTTCATTTCGGTGATTAATTTTATCCGGTCTGAATGAAACGAAGGATCTTATATTGAGCAGAAGTAAAATTAGTACTTAGAATGAGAAAACTGGGGGTGGGCGGGGTTAGTACTTGATAGGATAAAACTGCTTTTGGCAAATGATATGCTTTCCAAGAAAATAGAGGGCGGGTGGGCGGGGCTAGTCCTTGATAAGAAAATACTGTCTTTGGTAAATGATATATTTTCCAAGAAAATAAGGGCGGGTGGGCGGGGCTAGCATTTTATAAGAAATGACTGATTTTGACACTTTTGACACTTATGACCATTTTTCAAGCATTTTCGAAATTGAACCAAACATTTTCTTGTAGATTTCGACATCCAAAAATCAATTTCGGCCTCATTTCTTCGAAAATTTCTATCGTTCTACCAAAATCGTCAGTTGAAATATAGTAATTTTTACAGTCGCAGTAGCAAATAGTATAACATCTATTAGTTTCCTTTCTCATTCCATAAAAGAACATTATTAGCCCCGCCCACCCACCCTGTCTTCATTTGAGTGATTAATTTTATCCGGTTTGAATGAAATAAATGATCTTATACTGAGCAGAAGTAAAATTAGTCCTTAGAATGAGAAGACTGGGGGTGGCCGGGGTTAGTTCTTGATAAGATATGACTGTATCGGCAAATGACATATCTTCCAAGAAAATAGGGGCGGGTGGGCGGGGCTAGTACTTGATAAGATAAGACAATTTATGGCAAATGACATATCTTCCAAGAAAATAAGGGCGAGTGGGCGCGGCTAGCATTTTATAAGATATGACTGATTTTGACATTTTTGACATTTTCGACCATTTTTCAACCATTTTCGAAATTGAGCCAAACATTTTCTTGTAGATTTCGACATCCAGTTGAAATTTAGTAATTTTTACAGTCGGAGTAGCAAATAGTATAACATCCTAAATTCTATTAGTTTCCACTCCCATTCCATTAAGGAACATTATTAGCCCCGCCCACCCACCCTGCCTTCATTTCAGTGAATAATTTTATGCAGTCTGAATAAAATGAATGATCATATAGTGAGCAGAAATAGAATTAGTCCTTAGAATGAGAAGACTGGGGGTGGGCGGAGTTAATCCTTGATAAGATAAAACTGCTTTTGGCAAATGACATACCTTCCAAGAAAACAGAGGGTGGGTGGGCGGGGTAGTCCATGATAAGATAAGACTGTCTTTGGCGATTGACATATCTTCCAAGAAAATAAGGGCGGGTGGACGGGGCGAGCATTTTATAAGATATGACTGATTTTGACATTTAACCATTTTTTAACCATTTTCGAAAATTAGCTAGACATTTTCTTGTAGATTTCGACATCCAGAAATCAATTCGGCCTCATTTCTTCGAAAATTTCTATCGTTCTACCAAAATCGTCGATTGAAAGACATATAGCAATTTTTACAGTGGCGGTAGGAAATAGTATAACAAAAAATTTACGATTGGCGCTTTTTTTTTACTCTTTTTACATCCTAGATTCTAATAATTTCCACTCCCACTCCATAAAAGAACATTATTAGCCCCGCCCACCCACCCTGCTTTCATTTCAGTGATTAATTTTATCCGGTCTGAATTAAATTACTGATCTTATACTGAGCAGAAATAAAATTAGTGCTGAGAATGACAAGACTGGGCATGGGCGGGGCTAGTACTTGCTAAGATAAAACTGCTTTTGGCAAATGACATGCCTTCCAAGAAAATAGAGGGCGGGTGGGTGGGGCTAGTCCTTGATAAGAAATTACTGTCTTTAGCAAATGATATATTTTCCAAGAAAATAAGGGCGGGTGGGCGGGGCTAGCATTTTATAAGAAATGACTGATTTTGACACTTTTGACACTTTTGACCATTTTTCAACCATTTTCGAAATTGAACCAAATATTTTCTTGTAGGTTTCGACATCCAGAAATCAATTTCGGCCTCATTTCTTTGAAAATTTCTATCGTTCTACCAAGATCGTCAGTTGAAATATAGTAATTTTTACAGTCGCAGTAGCAAATAGTATAACATCTATTAGTTTCCATTCTCATTCCATAAAAGAACATTATTAGCCCCGCCCACCCACCCTGTCTTCGTTTCAGTGATTAATTTTATCCGGTCTGAATGAAACGAATGATCTTATACTGAGCAGAATTAAAATTAGTCCTTAGAAGGAGAAGACTGGGGGTGGACGGAGTTAGTTCTTGATAAGATATGACTGTCGTGGCAAATGACATACCTTCCAAGAAAATAGGGGTGGGTGGGCGGGGCTAGTACTTGATAAGATAAGACTATTTTTGGCAAATGACATACCTTCCAAGATAATAGGGGCGGGTGGGCGGGGCTAGTACTTGATAAGATAAGACTAGTTTTGGCAAATGACATATCTTCCAAGAGAATAAGGGCGGGTGGGCGGGGCTAGCATTTTATAACATATGACTGATTTTAACACTTAACCATTTTCGAAAATTAGCTAGACATTTTCTTGTAGATTTCGACATCCAGAAATCAATTCGGCCTCATTTTTTCGAAAATTTCTATCGTTGTACCAAAATCGTCATTTGAAATATAGCAATTTCTACAGTCGTATAATTAGCAAATTGTATTGTATAACAAAAAATTTACGATTGGCACTTTTTTTTACTTTTTTTACGTCTTAGATTCTATTAGAGTCCACTCCCACTCCGTAGAAGTACATTATTAGCCCCGCCCACCCACCCTGCCTTCATTTCAGTGATTAATTTTACGAGGTCTGAATAAAATGAATGATCATATAGTGAGCAGAAATAAAATTAGTCCTTAGAATTACAAGACTGGGGGTGGACGGGGTTAGTTCTTGATAAGATAAGACTATTTTTGGCAAATGACATATCTTCCAAGAGAATAAGGGCGGGTGGTCGGGGCCAGCATTTTGTAAGATATGACTGATTTTGACACTTTTGACATTTTCGACCATTTTTAACCATTTCCAAATTCTTTTTGTTATAAAGTGTAGATATTTTTTAAATTGATTTTTTGCCATTTAGCAAACAATAAAAATAGGCAACACACAATTCATTGGTATTCTCTATTAAATATTTATTCCGCATTTTTTTTTCAGAATCCATTAAAGTCAAAATAGGAATGAATTTGGACGCTGTAGAGTTTCTAGGGTGTCCAGAAAGTTTAAAAACGATTCGTATCCTTCACACATGTTTCTTTCTCTAGATAAAAGTGAGAACTCGCGTTCTTTGGATAGTACGGTGTCGGAGGAATTTTTGAGTAAGAAGAACGCGCTTTAGAGTGTGTATATTAAAACCATTTAATACAATAAACATCAATAAATAGCAATAAAAATAATTCTAAATACACGAGCCTTATTTCGAAATGTAAAATTTAAATATCACGTGGAAGCAGTAAACGGGAAACAAATGTATAATTTTGTTTCCATTTTTCAAAAATCCTAAACAGTCTTGTCGTTTTGAAGCTACAAATATTGTTTTTACTCCCCAACATCGTCCCTATCCAAAAAAGTTATTGACTTTAGTACTCCTCCCGAAAACCTGTACTTTTCCAAAACCGACCCTTTCCACGTGTACTTAAATCCCCTTAATACATAAAACATTTGACTAGACACTTCTGCAACGTCAAGGTAAATAACGATCACAAATATACATTAAACACACGTCTCGGAATCCTGCGGTTTAGTAATCTTGAGCAACGGAGTCGAGTCCGCCCAGGGGATTACCTCCTCGCACTCGGGAAACTTGCTCAAATCAACCATATCCTGTTTTCGAGGGCTCGTCGGGGCCGAAATCGTGTGAATAACAGGACAGTGAGGAACGGACAACTGTTGCGAGCACAGCATGGGCACACTATAGCACGTCGGTCGCGTCAACTTGACCGTTTTTTCCTCCTTGTAGAGCATAGAGAGCTGGGACTGCGCCAGCGTAGCTGCGGAATTGGCCAGGTTCTCGATGCACGGACACGACGTGCTGGAGGTCTTCCACGCCTCGCTGCAGCAATCCAACGAATTCGCCGACTTCTTGCACGGACTGTTGTCGGAAATCACCTCCAGGAAGTTGGAGTCGCTCTTCTTCTCCAGGTTGTCGCCGCTGGCGAAGCGCAGCTTCTTGGGGCTCTCGAACGACGAGCACCTGGGGATGGGGCTGCGGACTATGCTGTTCTTGTTCTTGAGGGAGCTGCGCGTGATGATGAGGTGTCCGTTGCTGTCGACTTGCCCGTTCTTGTAGGGTTTCCCTTCAGCTTTCAGGCGACGCTTCTCGCGCTCTTCTTTCCGGATGGCTCGATAATACGGATCTTCACCTAGCAACCAGTAGGTTTGTTGTTCGCCTTTGCCCTTCATCGACACGATTCCCCGCTCCACCAGGTTGTAGCCGCCGAGTTTCGTGAGCAGGTCTTTGCATTCTTTACTGCAGTGGATTTTTAAGGCTGGAAGGAAATTGCGCCGGAATATAGAATCCAATATCGGTACGGAGATAGTGCTTACGGGTTCCGGTGGATTCCATCCGGCTGGAGGTATTGACGGTGTCGCCGAATAAACAATAACGGGGCATTTTCAGACCGACCACTCCGGCGCAGACGGGGCCTGGAAATAATAATAATAATAGCTTTGTTTAGTTCTTGTTTCAAGGATTTGATGGAAAAGTGACGGAGTTATAATGAGGGATGTTTTCATAATTCGTAAGGACTTAGGAGTGCGGAGCGAAAATCTCTATTGATTTCTTTGTGTCGCCACGGTTTCGTTTGACAGCGCGCGATAATGGCGGTGTTTATTGCCACTTTAATAATTTTTTTACGCATTTGAGTCTAGACTCAGTTCAAGACGGGAGAAAGAGGATTTCGAATAATGTGAGCGCTAAATGAACGATGTTTTTGGTGGTTTGTGGAAATTTAGAACAGTCGAAGTAGGTTATAAAGTCTTATCCTTGTATGTTGAGGTAAACTATGCGTTTTTGCTTGTCGAGCGTAAGCTTAACAGATTACCGCCGAATTGATTACTGTGAAGTCTGAGGTTAATTTTAAGATTATCGTGTGGATGATACAACTTTAATTAAAAAAGAAAATTAATGACGTCATCTTAAAATTTTGGTCAAATATCTTAATAAACGAGAATGACAACATATGTCAGTTCAGGTCAGCTCAGTGGTCGAAAGAATGAGAAAGAAATCAAACAATTAAAATTCGAAAAATTGAGAATCGAATTGTTTAATCACAAAATCGAAAAATCAAAATATTGGAAAATCGAAAAATTGAGAAATCAAAAATCGGGAAACTATAATAATGAAAAATTGCAAATTGAAACCTGAAGAAATGAAAAATTGAAAAATTCGAACGTGGATAACTCAAAAAATTAAAATCCAAAAATTAAAAAAAAAACGAAACACCAAAAAATCGAAAAAATGGGAAAAAAATTAAAAATCTGAATACGGAAAAATCAAACTATTGGAAAATCGAAAAATTGGGAAATCAAAAACCGAGGAATTGAAAAATCGAAAAATTGCAAAATGTAAAATTGAAAATTGCAAAGCGAAATCTGAAGAAATGATAAATAAAAAAAATCAAATGTCGATAAATCAAAAAAATTAAAAAAACGAAACATTGAAAATTCGAAAAGATATAGAATTTTTCGATTTTCCAAATTGTGAAGTTTTCAATTTAACAATTTTGCAATTTTTGAGGCTCTGGATGTTTAATTTTTCAATAAAGTTGAACAAATTTATTTAAGCGGAAATTTTGAATCTTCTCTTCTTGAAAAACTGGAGAACCACCTTGATATTCTTTCCAAACCAAAACCATTTTTGTTTTTAATTGGACGATTTTTCAAATTTTGAATTTACCAATTTTACAATTTAGCAATTTTTGGATCTTTTATTTTTCAAATTCTCGATTTTTATTTTTTTAAGTTCTCAACATAATTGCACAAGATTTATTCAAACTGAAATTTTAAAATTTCGAAAAATTGAAAAATTAAAAATAGAAAAATCAAAAATGTCAATTTTGCAAAATTTTAAAATTGAAAATCGAAAGACCGAGAAATTGAAAAATCAAAAATTGAAAAATCTGAAAATGAAAAAAAAACATTTAGAATTCAAAACATTGAAAAATTCAAATATTGATAAATCGGGAAATCAAAATATTGTAAAATCGAAAAATTGTAAAATTGAAAATTGCAAAGCGAAATCTGAAGAAATGAAAAATAAGAAAATTCAAATGTTGATAAATCAAAAAACTAAAAAAACGAAACATTGAAAAATCGAAAAAATAGAGAATCATCTCGATATTTCTTCAAATTCTTTCAAAACCCAAACAATTTAGATTTTAATTGCTCGATTTTCCAAATTTTGGATTTTTTCAATTCTACAGTTTCGCAATTTTTGGAACTTTGGTTTTTCAAGATTTCGATTTTTATTTTTTCAATTTTGCAACAAAGTCATTGAAACTGAAATTTTAAATCTTCGAAAAACTTCAAATTGGAAAATTGAAAAAATTTGGAAATTGAAAAATCGGAAAATCAAAATATTGGAGAAACGAAAAATTTAGAAATCAAAAACTGAAAATTTGTAAAATCGAAAAATTGTAATACTGAAAATTGCAAAATCCAAACCTAAAGCAATTCAAACGGTAATAAATAAAAAAATGAACATAAAAAATTGAAAAGATGTAAAATCAAAGAACTGGGGAACCACCTCGAGATTTTTTTAACATTTTTAAGACCAACACATTTTCGTTTATAATTCTTCGATTTTCTGAATTTTGAAATTTTCAAGCTCTCGATTTTTAATTTGTTAATTTTTTAACAAAACTGAAAAATTAAAAATCGGGAAATGGAAAAATCAAACATTTATAACTCAAAACATTGAAAAGTGGAAATATTGTTAAATTGAAAAATCGAAAAATTGGAAATCAAAAAATCAAAAATCGTGGAATGGAAAATCGAAAAATTGCAAAATTGAAAAGGCACAAAAAAATATAAAATCAAAAAATTATAATGTTGAAAGTGTAAATCGAAATGTGAAGAAATGAAAAATTGAAAAAATTCAAAATCAAAAATTAAAAAACACTGAAAAATCGGACAAAATGGGGAACTATCTCTATAAGAGTCTAAGTCTTTCAAAACTAAAATATTTTATTTACGTTTCTATTTGTCCAAATTTTCAATTTTAAATTATTCAATTTTACAATTTTGTAATTTTTGGAACTTTTATTTTTCAAGGTCTCGATTTTTATTTAATTAATTTTTCAGCAAAAATTGCACAAACTCATTCAAACTGAAATTTTATAACTTCTAAAACCTGTAAAATTGAAAAATTAAAAATAGGAAAATTGAAAACACGAAACATTGCAAAATCGAAAAAATTGACAAATTGAAAAATCGAAAAATCGAAAATTTAAAATCCAAAACATCGAAAAATCGAAAAACGAAAAATCGAAAATTTAAAATCCAAAACATCGAAAAATCGAAAAATTAAAATATTTGAAAATCGAAAAATTGAGATATCAAAAACAGAGGAATTGTAAAATAAAAAAATTGTAAGACTGAAATTTGCAAAATCGAAATCTGAAAAATTGAAAAAATGGAAAAATTTAAAAATCGAAAATCAACAATTTAAAATTCAAAACATTGATAAATCCAATACTGGAATTCAAAATATTGGAAAATTGAAAAATTCGGAAATCAAAAATCGAGGAATTGGAAAATCGAAAAGTTTCAAAATTGAAAAAGCGCTTATTGCGCTTGCGGTGTAAAGTCGAAAAATTATAATACTGAAAAATTGCAAATAAAAATTTGAAGTAATGTAAAATTGAAAAATTCAAACGTTGATAAATCAAAAAATTAAAAAAACGTAACGTTGAAAGATCGAAAAAAGGGGGAACCACTTTGATATTTTTTTTTTTACTTTTTCAAGACCAAAATATTTTAGTTTTTAATTGTTCGGTTTTCCAAATTTTGAAGTTTTCCAGTTAACGATTTAGCAATTTTTCAAGCTCTCCCTTTTTAATTTTTGATTTTTCAACAAAGTTGAACAAATTTGTTTAAGCTGGAATTTTGAAAAATTGAAAAATTGATGAATTAAAAATAGAAAAATTAAAAAAGTAAATACTGCAAAACGTTGTAATTGAAAATTGAAAGAGCGAGAAATTGAAAAATTGAAAAACCTAAAAAATGGAGAAATTGAAGAATCGGAAAACCAAAAAATCAAACATTTATCACTCAAAACAATGAAAAATCGGGAAATCCAAAAATCAAAATATGTATTGGAAAATCGAAAAATTGGAAATCAAAAAATCAAAAATCGAGAAACTGGAAAATCGAAAAATTGCAAAATTCGAAAGCACAAAAAAGTGTAAAATCTAAAAATTGTAATACTGAAAAAGTGCAAATCGAAATATAAATAAGGAAATGAAAAATTAAAAAAATTAGGAAAGTAAATATTGCAAAAATTAAAAAAAAAATTGAAAAATTGAAAAACTAATCTGAAACGTTGAAAAATTAAAAAAATGGCGAAATTGAAAAATCGGAAAATCCAAAAATCAAAATATTGGAAAATCGAAAAATTGGGAATCAAAAAATCAAAAATCGGGAAATTGGAAAAACGAAAAATTAAAAAGTAAATATTGCAAAAATTGAAAATTGATAATCGAAGGAGCGAGAAATTAAAAAATCAAAAATTAAAAAAAAAATGATAAAACCGAAACATTACAAAATCGAAAAAAAATGGAGAAATTGAAAAACCCGAAAAAGATCAGAACTCAAAACATTTAGAAATCGGAAAATCAAAAAATCAAAATATTGGAAAAATTAGAAAACTGAAAAAGAGTAAAAAAGTGTAAAACCGAAAAATTGGAAATGAAAAAATCAAAAATTGAGAAACTGGAAAATCGAAAAATTGCAAAATTGGAAAGGCACAAAAAAGTGTAAAACTGAAAAATTGTAATAGTGAAAAAGTGCAAATCGAAATATAATAAGAAAATGAAAAATTGAAAAAATTAGGAAAGTAAATATTGTAAAAATTAAAAAAAAAAATATTGAAAAATTGAAAAACTAATCTGAAACGTTGAAAAATTTAAAAAATGGCGAAACTAAAAAATCGGAAAATCGAAAAATCAAAATATTGGAAAATCGAAAAATTGGGAATCAAAAAATCAAAAATCGGGAAATTGGAAAAACGAAAAATTAAAAAAGTAAATATTGCAAAAATTAAAAATTGATAATCGAAGGAGCGAGAAATTAAAAAATCAAAAATTAAAAAAAAAAATGATAAAACCGAACCATTACAAAATCGAAAAAAAATGGAGAAATTGAAAAACCTGAAAAAGATCAGAACTCGGAAAATCAAAAAATCAAAATATTGGAAAATTTACAAAACCGAAAAAGAGTAAAAAAGTGTAAAATCGAAAAATTGGAAATCAAAAAACCAAAAATTTAGAAAATGGAAAATCGAAAAATTGCAAAATTGGAAAGGCACAAAAAAGTGTAAAATCGAAAAATTGTAATATTGAAAAAGTGCAAATCGAAACATAAGGAAATGAAAAATTGAAAAATTCAAAATCAAGAATTAAAAAACCAGTGACCGAAAAATTAAAAAAATGAATAACGATCTCGATATTCTTCCAAACTCTTTCAAAACCAAACTATTTTCGTTTTTAATTGTTCGATTTTCCTAATTTTGAATTTTTCAATTTTACAATTTTGCAATTTTTAGAACTTTTATTTGTCAAGCTCTCGATTTTTAGTTCTTTTATTTTTCAACAAAATGGCACAAATTTAACCAAACTGAACTTCGAAAAACTGAAAAATTGAAAAAATTAAGAAAGTAAATAAAAAATTGAAAGTCGAAAGGGCGAGATATTGAAAAATCAAAAATTAAAAAAAATGAAAAAACCGAAATATTGAAAAATCTAAAAAAAATGGACAAACTGAAAAACCGGAAAATCGAAAATCAAACATTTATAACTCGAAGCATTGAAAAATTGAAATACTGATAAATCGGAAAATCGAAAAATCAGAATATTGGAAAATCGAAAAAACTGAAAAAGAGTAAAAAAGTGTAAAATCGAAAAATTGTAATACTGAAAATCTGAAAAACTGAAAAATTCGAACGTTGTTAAGTCAAAAAATTAAAAATCAAAAATTAACAAAACGAAAAATTGAAAAATCGAAAAAATTGAACAAATTTATTGAAACTGAAATTTTGAAAAACTAAGAAATCGAATAATTAAAAATGAAAATTAAAAAAGTAAATATTACAAAATTCTATGATTAAAAAACGAAAAAGCGCAAAAAGTGTAAAATCAGAAAATTGTAATATTAGAAATATAAATCTGTAGAAAAAAGTTGATAATTCAAAAAATGATAAAATTTAACGTTATTACATACAAAATAGTGCAAAAAATAGTCAAGTTATTTTCAAAAGGACTTAATGAACTCCTTTGGAACAGTGGTAACTCGGTGGGTACGAAAAAAGAGAAATATAGAAAGTAGGACAAAAGTATGGAATCTGTCAAATAGCTCCAAGACCTCTGGATAATTTAGGGTACGCAATATGTACAAATTGGTACGAAAAATCTCAGATTTTTTTTCGACAGGAGCTCTTTATAAAAAAATACGTTATGTATTGGTCTGCGTCAGAGGACTACGAATGCACAGTTTAACCTCCCGAGACCCATATTTATCCGGAGTGACAAGTCTGCGTAGTGTATTGTCTGGATGAAAAATTGCACACCTTTTAATATCTCATCTAATCCCGTGCCGCTACACGTCAAAAGTAAACATTCACCCCGAACTCGGTGAAATTTTCCTCGCAGGTAAACCGCGTTTTAACAGCCAAACAAGCTCATAACCCAACTCACCCGAATGAATTCCTATTCTGAGCATAAGTTTCTCTTTTGGCCTATGTCGAATGGTAAACTGCTTAACTTCCGAGAGGAGATGAAGGGACATGGAAGCGATTTCCGCAGCGTGTTGATTGTCGTTGCGAATAGGAAGACCGCTGACCTGAAAAGCAATATAAAAGCTCAGCTGCAGCTGCTCGCGACACGTACAATTAAATCAATCGGAAATTTTTCCGCCAAAAAGCCAGCGCGACTGAAAAATGCAGGGTCGGCCCAATGGAAAATTTACAAAGTGTTGGTTGGGTATTATTATTAGAGAGCGGATTTCTAGGTTTAATGCTTTTTGTGAAAAATGTAAGCACTTCAAAACTTTTTTATGTCTGTAACTATGATACAATTTGGAGTCATTTGGCACATTTTTTTTATGCTTATTTGCTTTTTTTTCAATTTTATGCATATTAAGACTTATATGTGTCAAAGAATTTCGCGACCATATATTCTAAATTCGATTTATCTACTTGTATTTGTTGTCTACATGTGTCTAATTGTGATATACTTGTTATTTCTGTAGAATATTGTCTACATGTTTTTGTGTGAACGATGCCAAATGTAGTGTTTCTATGTAATGGCTGAATAAAGTTATTATTAAAGTTATGCTTATTGACAAATACTTGTTAGTTAGCCGTATCGTATCGTATGCATTTTACCTGGACTTGACCATTGAAGTACACTTACTCAAGATAATGCAGAATAATGATAATTTATGACAGGCGGCCCACAACATACCTTCAGCACAGAATAATCATTTCTCGTATTCTTTTGACATATTAATTTTAATATTCGAGATAATTATTATATTATTCAAACACAATTTAGACACTGTAGAGCAAACAAGGCTTATCAAGCCCGTCTATTAGTTTATTCGCCTAAATGTATTATTAATACCGTTTTCAAATTACACCAAAATTGAAAAATCGAAAACTTAATAATTGAAAAATTGAAACATTTTAAATGAAAAAAATCGGTAAACCGAAAAATTGAAAAATCTATAAATCGAGAAATTGAACAATCTAAAAATTAAACAATTTAAAAATCGAAGAATTGGAAAACCAAAAAATATAAACCGAGAACTTGAAAAATCGAATAATCGAGAAATCAAAACATCAAGGAAAACAAAAAAATTAACGGAAAATCTAGAACTTAAAAATTGAAAAATTAAAATACCTATCGAAAAATTGAAAAACCGAGAAATCGAAACATCAAAAAATGGAAAAATTGAAGAACCGAAACATTGCAAAATCTCAGAACTGAAATACTGAAAAACTGAAAAATGGAAGGAAAATTGAAAAATCGAAAAAGTGAAAAAATTCAAAACTGAAATCTTGAAAAACTGAAAAATGGAAAGAAAATTGAAGAATCGGAAAAGTGAAAAAATCCAAAACTGAAACACTGAAAAATCCAGAAATCGAAAAATTGAAAAATCACAATTGAAGAAAGAATTGAAAAACCAAGAAATAGAGAAATGGGAAAATCAAAAATTCAGTTAATCGAAAAATTGAAAAATCGAAAAACTTAGAAACGTCAAAAATTGAAAACTGGAAAATAAAAAAAATTAAAAATCGTAAAACTGAAATATCGTAAAGTTAATAAATTGAAAAACTGAAAATTTTTGAAAAAAAAATCGTATCAAAAACTAAAAATTCAAAAAATCGAGAAATTGAACAATCAAAAAATCAAAACATTGAAATCCCAGTAAGTTGATAAATAGGAAAACTTAAAAAACCAAAATTTTAAAAATCCAAGAATCGAACAACAAAAAAATCTAAGCCTGAAAACTCAGAAAATTGAATGATCGAGAACAAAAATCTAAAATTTAAAAATTCGACAAATTGAAAAATCATGGAACTGAAAAATCGAAAAGTCGAGATAGTGAGAAATCTAAAAACCTAAAACTTTAAAAACTGAAAAATTAAAATATCGAAAAATTTAAAAACCGAGAAAACACAATATCAAAAATTTGAAAAATTGAAGAAACGAAATATTGCAAAATTCCAAAGCTGAAATATTGAAAAACCTTAAAATGGAAGGAAAATTAAAGAATCGAAACAGTGAAAAAATCCCAAACTGAAACATTGAAAAATTGAGAAATGGAAAAATGGGAAAATCCAAAATTGGTCTAAAGAGTTTAGACAGTACTTCCCTCGCTATCGGAAACGTGACGACTGCAAACCTATTGTTTTTTTTTCACATTAGATTTCAAAGCATTCGGTTTTGTAGTTCCTGATTAAATCAATACAAGAAATTTGCGCATTCATTAAATTTTTTGAGTCACCTGTATATCCGAATCCAAAAAATATGAATGGATGATAAATTACAAGAAGAGACTCATCATATTTTGTAAATGTTAAATAGGATTACACGGCAAACTTTTGAGCTGACCTCATCAATTTTTTGGAGGGGATAAGCAAATATATTTTGACTAAGACTTTCTTTAAAGTCTTTGGAATTTTTAGAATCTTTGACATTTTGGAATTCCGCTAGAACCTTTAGGATATTTCAAGTATTCGAAACAGAATTTTAGCTTTTGACCCCTTAGCGTCCTTAGAGACTTTAGACCCTCTAAAAGTCTAGAACCTTTAAAATCTTTAGTCTTTCCATTCTATGGAAATTTTGAACAATAGTAACCTATTCTTAAGAAAGTTAACTTTTAAACATCATGAAACCGAATTAGAACTGGGGAACCTATACATTCCATGAAAATAGAGGGTGGGTGGGCGGGGCTAGTATTTGATAAGATAAGACTGATTTTGGCCAATGATATACCCTCTAATAAATAAAGGACGGGCCGATGAGGCTACTACTTTCTAAAATAAGACTCATTTTGTAAAATGATATATAGTTTCCCGAGTTCTAATTCGGTTTTACGATAGTACCACATTGTGTAAAAGTTAACTTCCTTAACAACAGATTACTACTGCCGGTGATGGGACAGTCATAAATAAAAATTTAACCATGTCGTTACCATTATACTGTATAATGGTAATGACATGGTTATTTATGACTGTCCCACCATCGGCAGTAGTAATCTATTCTAAAGAAAGTTAACTTTAACACATCATAAAACCGAATTAGAACTGGGGAAACTGTACCTTCCACGAAAATCGAGGGCGGGTGGGCGGGGCTAGTATTTTCTAAGAAAAAACTGGACAATATCAAGATTAATCACTAGAATGAAGTCTCTGTAGAAAAAGGTTAAACCCAGCCTCCCACCTTCTAGATATTTCGAAATTTTCTAAAATTAGTAGACCCCAAGAGTCTTTAAATCTTTGAAATTTTTGGAATCTCTGGTATCTTTACAATCTCTGAGATGTATAAGATAATAATTAGGGTGTTCCCAATTTTTACAATTTTTAGATTTTTAGGATTTTTGTTTTGTTTAGAGTCTTTGGAATCTTTAAAATTTTTGTCACGTTAAAAGTTCATGCGTTTTTTACAAATTATAGAATCTGAAATATTTGGAACAGAATTTTAAAAACCTTTTTCACGTTTAAGTCCTTAAACTAGTTTTCAGAGTTCTTAGAGTCTTAGCAATTTTTGGAAATATGGATACTTCAGAATTACTACAAATTTTATAAAATTTAGAATTTTTATAATTTTTAGGAACATTAATACTTCAAGATCTTTACAATTTTTAAGATTTGGTTGGATGTTTCTTCTATTTAAAACCTAAAACTTCAGTTTATATAGCATCTTTGGTGTCTTTACAATTTTCAAATTCTAGTGTATGAAAAAAAAGATTTTTAGAATATGTCGAGTGTTTAGAATTTTTGAAAGGTTTGAAACCTTTGAAATATTTCAAACATTTGGAAACTTTGGAATTTTTTGAGTATCTACAATCTTTGGATTGTGTAAACTTTAGATATTTTGAGATTTCATATTTTTTTATTTTCTTTTTTTAATTCGCAAAATTTTCAAAATTTCCAGATTTTCCGAAGTACACAAAATGACCAGAATTTCTACATTTTCCAAATTTCTAAAATTATCAGGCTCCAGTTATATCAGAATTTTGAAATTCAACCTTTTCCAATATTTTCAAGATTTCTAGGTTCAACAATATTTTTCCCACATTTTCTAAATTTTTTCGGATTTTCTAAAATTTATAGATCTCAACAATCTTTGGAATTTATAATATAATAATTACGGTGTTCAGTGATTTTAGAATTAAAAAATTAAGGAAAGCGTTTTTCCGCTCTTTAAGATTTTTGTTTTCTTTAAAATCTTTGGCATTTTAAGAGTTCACGCGATTTTTACGAGTTTTAGAATCTTTGGCTTTTTGGAATTTCTCTAGAACATTTAGAATCTTTCAAGTATTCGAAACAAAATTTTAGCTGTTGACTCACTGGAGTCCTTAGAGTCTTTAGACCCTTTAGAGCCTTTAAAATCTTTAGTCTTTAGACTCTTTAGAGTCTTTTCAATCTATGGAAATTTTGAGCAGTAGTATCTATTCTTAAGAAATTTAACTTTTACGCATCATGAAACCAAATTAGAACTGGGGAAATTATACCTTCCATGAAAATAGAATGCTAAGATAAGATGATATATAGTTTCCCCAGTTCTAATTCGGTTTTACGATAGTACCCCATTGTGTAAAAGTTAACTTCCTTAACAATAGATTACTACGGCCGGTCCTGGCAGCTTGTTATAAAACTGAGTTCCTTGCCATAAATTAGAAAAATCAGCCCAGAATTCTAACAATCAGCTTATGGTAGAGCAGGCGATAAGGGTTTTACCTGGAAAGTCGCTTCCGTAAATTTTAGTGGCGCTCCTATCGGCAAAGTACTGAACTAACTGCTCAAATTCTGTCGAATTGATACCCATTTTTTTCAATAATTGTTAGTTTTTGTTAAAAACTCTACTAACCAATAGATTATTAATTTTCCTCTGATATTCCTGTTAAAATTATTCTACTATTTTGCATTAATTTGTGGTATATTTTGATTTTAATAAACACATTATTATTTAAACAAATTGTACCACTAACAAACATTTAATGACTCTTCGCCCTGTAAAAAGTGATGTTTTATCCATGTACGAATTTTCGAGCGATTCTGTGATGGTTATAACTTAAAAAAACTTGAAAAGAAAACATACAATGGTGCTTTTTTTACGATATTTCTCAGCCATATTTTTTTAGTTGATTGAACTGGTCTCTGCGCTCTGGAATATGAAAAAAGCTGCAGTTTGATGTATGATACATCTATATTAATATCATTTTTTCATACAAAAAACCAAAAAAATGTTATAGGTACTTCGTCTAGCGAGTCCCCTTAAACAACAAGCAAACGCAGTAAGGGGTGAAATTGGTACTAGAGTATCTCAAAAACTTGACGAAGTGTTAAATAAAAATGCAGGTTTCGGTGTTCTTTCCGACGTTGCTCGTGTTTTACAAGGTCAGAAGGTGGAAAATTCGGAGTTAGATTCAACATTAGTTGCAAAATTCAAATTTGCGCCAACAACGAGTGTGGATGTTGAACGCACATTCTCCAATTTTAAACACATTTTAAATGATCGGCGAAAAAATTTTACAGTGGACAACTTGGAACATATTACAATCATAAATTGTTTTAAAGAAAACTGAAATACGTGTGTAAAATATAAAATCTTGTAATAATATTTTATCCAAAATTCTAAGAAGTATTCTTTGATTTGTAATATGATTATGTTTTTAATGCTTTTTTGCTTAAAATAAAACTTTTTTATTGAAAATGTTGTGCTTATTTAAGCGCGTATTCTTAATTTGTTTGTGCTTATAAATCCGCTCTCTAATTATTATAACTATTATTATTTTCAGTTTTGCTGCAAAGCTAGTAAAAAATTGTGGAAAGTAGACTGTTCCAATTCGACACTGGAAAAATGAGTCCAGCCCTGTCTCGCCTGTCAAAGCACAACAAGCGAAAAATGTAACAAAAATGAGACACGCCCCCGTCGTTTATTTGACGCGAAATTGACTTCGGCAGCCGAGATGAAAGAAAATTGCCTTTAAAGGCCGCACTTACCACCATATACGCGTCCCCGATTGTCTCTACCTTGTAGACGTCGTAGTGCTCGATGATGGAGTCGAAGCAAGTGTACAAGTCGTTCAGGAAGTCCACAACCTGGAATAAACTCGACGGGTCATAAAAATCATCCGCGCTAAAAATTACTCAAAAAGCCGCGTCTAGACCCGAGAAAATCGCCGAAAGTTCCGAAGTGTTGTGTTGTATTAAGTTTTCCACCCACCTGTAACGGCGTGCTCTCTGCAGACATGGACGTGAAGCCAACAATATCGCTGAAATATATGGTCACGCAATCAAAACTTTCGGCTTCAACCTTGTTTCCTCTTTTTAGTTGTTCGGCAACTGGTCGGGGCAGCATTTCGTACAGCAGGGCCTCTGGAAGTTGTCATAAACTCGTTGCTTTGTTGCGAGAGTATTGATTGAGCGAGCTTGAAGGCAATTCGTCTTACCTGTTTTCTTTTTTTCTTCTTGTAATTGATCGGTGCGCTCGTCGACGAGCACCTCCAGGTTGTTGGCGTACTTTTCCATCATGGCCATCATGTTGTCGAAGATGTTGGGACGCCTGTGCCAACGAATCGTAATTAATGGTCAAAGTTCGGGATTGATTGGGGGGAGGGGGGAGTGGGACGGGACGGCGATGAGTGATTAATGGGGTTTTGGTAGTAGCAGGAGTGTCTTTGAGTTATGCATTTTTTGCAAATTATTTAGATTATAAATGACTTTTACAGGTTTATTCAAAATTTTTTTTTAATTTGAAAAATTTAAAGTTTTCGATTTAAAATTTCTCGAGTTTTCAATTTTTCGGTTTTTTAGTTTTTCATTTCTGTAAATTTTCGATTTGTAATTTTTCGATTCGATTTTTGTCTCCTTCATTTTTACAGTTGTTCTTGTATCTCCAATTTTTAGATTTTGCAATTTTTTCATTTAAAATGTCTCGAGTTTTGATTTTTTTCAATTTTTTGGTTTTTTACTTTTTCATGTCTTCATATTTTCGATTTGCAATTTTTCATTTCGGTTTTTTATTTTCTTTATTTTTTGATTATTCGATTTTGCAATGTTTCGATTTTTCAATTTTTCGTTTCTTCAATTTCTAGATTTTGAAATTTTTGTATGTAAAACTTCCCGAGTTTTGAATTTTTTCTTCAATTCTGCATTTTTTCAATTTTTGATTTGCAATTTGGCGTTTGGGTTTTTTGTTTTCTCTATTTTTACACTTTTTCTTTTTTCAGGTTTCCAATTTTATTTTTTTTTCAATTTTTCGTTTCTTCAATTTTTCTATTTATGATTGGTCATTTTTTTATTCTTCTTTTTTCTTCAAATTTTAGATTTTTTAACTTTTTTATTCAAAATGTTTCGAGTTTTGAATTTTTTTTCAATGTTTCGATTCTTTAGTTTTCCATTTTTCCAAATTTTCGATTTGTAATTGTCGTTTCGGTTTTTTGTTTTCTTCATTTTGACAGATTTTACATTTTTCAATTTTCCCATTTTATAATTTCTTGTTTTTCCAATTTTTCGTTTCTATAATTTTTGGATTTACGATTTTTCAATTTTTCATTATTTTTGTTTCTTCAGTATTTGGATTTTGAAATTTTTTTATTCAAAATTTCCCGAGTTTTAATTTTTTTTTTCAATTTTTCGTTTTTTCAAATTTCTGGTTTCAGTTGCAATTTGTAGTTTCAGTTTTTTATTTTCTTTATTTTTCAATTTTTCAATTTACGATTTTTCAATTTTTTATTTTTTTTGTTTCTTCAGTTTTTAGATTTTGCAATTTTTTTATTTAAAATTTCTCGAGTTTTAATTTGTTTTATCAATTTTTCGATTCTTTAATTTTTCAGTTCTTCGAATTTTAGATTTTGAATTTTTTTTAATTAAAACTTTTCGCGTTGATTTTTTTCTTCAATTTTTCGATTTTTTAATTCTTCATTTTTTCAATTTTTGATTTGCAATTTGTCGTTTTTTGTTTTCTTCATTTTTACAATTTTTCGTTTTTCAATGCTCCCATTTTATAATTTTTTGTTTTTTCAATTTTTGGATTTATGATTTTTAATTTTTTTTGTATCTTCAGTTTTTAGATTTTGCAATTTTTTTTGTTTAAAATTTTTCCCTAGTTTTGATTTTTTTTTTTAATTTGGGATTCTTCAATTTTGCATTTTTTCAAATTTTTGATTTGCAATTTGTGTTTTCAGTTTTCATTTTCTTTATTTTTCAATTTTTTATTTTTCTTGTTTCTTCAAATTTTAGATTTTGAATTTTTTTTATTTAAAATTTCTCGAGTTTTGATTTTTTTTTTCAATTTTTTGATTCTTTAATTTTCCATTTTTTCAAATTTTCGATTTGTAAATTGTCGTTTCGATTTTTTGTTTTATTCATTTTTATAGATTTCCGATTTTTCAATGTTCCCATTTTATAATTTTTTATTTATTCAATTTTTCGATTTACGATTTTTATTTTTTTTGTATCTTCAGGTTTTAGATTTTGCAATTTTTTTGTTTAAAATTTTTCCCTAGTTTTGATTTTTTTTTCAATTTTGGGATTCTTTAATTTTGCATTTTTTCAAATTTTTGGTTTACAATTTGTTTTCAGTTTCTATTTTCTATATTTTTCGATTTTTCATGTTTCTTGTATCTTCAATTTTTATTAGATTTTGCAATTTTTTATTTCAAATTTCTCGGGTTTTGAACTTCTTTTTTCAATTTTTTGATTTACGATTTTTCAGTTTTTCATCTTTTTGCTTCTTCAATTTTTAGATTTTGCAATTTTTTTGTTTACAATGTTTCCATTAGTTTTGAATTTTTTTTTCAATTTTTCATTCTTCAATTTTTCATTTTTTCAAATTTTCGATTTGCAATTTGTTTTCAGTTTTTTATTTTCTTAATTTTTAAATTTTTCGATTTACGATTTTTCAGTTTTTCATTTTTTTTTTCCTTCAATTTTTAGATTTTGCAATTTTTTTGTTTACAATTTTTTCATTAGTTTTGAATTTTTTTTTCAATTTTTCATTCTTCAATTTTTCATTTTTTCAAATTTTCGATTTGCAATTTGTTTTCAGTTTTTTATTTTCTTAATTTTTCAATTTTTCGATTTACGATTTTTCATTTTTTTTTATCTTCAGTTTTTAAATTTTGCAATTTTTTTGTTTAAAATTTTTCCCTAGTTTTGATTTTTTTTCAATTTTGGGATTCTTTAATTTTGCATTTTTTCAAATTTTTGATTTGCAATTTGTGTTTTCAGTTTTCATTTTCTTTATTTTTCAATTTTTTATTTTTCTTGTTCCTTCAAATTTTAGATTTTGAATTTTTTTATTTCAAACTTCTCGAGTTTTGAACTTCTTTTTTCAATTTTTCGATTCACGATTTTTAAGTTTTTCATTTTTTTTTGTTCCTTCAATTTTTAGATTTTGCAATTTTTTTGTTTACAATGTTTCCATTAGTTTTGAATTTTTTTTTCAATTTTTCATTCTTTAATTTTTCATTTTTTCAAATTTTCGGTTTACAATTTCTTTTCAGTTTTTTATTTTCTTAATTTTTCAATTTTTCGATTTACGATTTTTAATTTTTTTTGTATCTTCAGTTTTTAGATTTTGCAATTTTTTTGTTTAAAATTTTTCCTTAGTTTTGATTTTTTTTTCAATTTTGGGATTCTTTCATTTTGCATTTTTTCAAATTTTTGATTTGCAATTTTTGTTTTCAGTTTTTATTTTCTTTATTTTTCAATTTTTCGTTTTTCTTGTATCTTCAATTTTTATATTTTGCAATTTTTTATTTCAAACTTCTCGAGTTTTGAACTTCTTTTTTCAATTTTTCGATTTACGATTTTTCAGTTTTTCAATTTTTTTATTTCTTCAATTTTTAGATTTTGCATTTTTTTTGTTTATAATGTTTCCATTAGTTTTGAATTTTTTTTTTCAATTTTTCATTCTTTAATTTTTCATTTTTTCAAATTTTCGATTTGCAATTTGGTTTCAGTTTTTTATTTTCTTAATTTTTGTATTTAAAATTTCCTGGTTTTGAACTTCTTTTTTCTATTTTTCGATTCTTTAATTTTTCATTTCTTCAAATTTTCGATTTTCAATTTATCTATTCGGTTTTTTATTTTCTTTATTTTTCAATTATTTGATTTCAAAATTTTTTGTTTTTTCGTTTCTTCAATCTTGTTATTTAAAATTTCTCTAGTTTTGATTTTTTTTCTGTATTCCGATTTTTTAGTTTTTCTTTTCTTCAAAATTTCGATTTGGAATTTGTCGTTTCGGTTTATTGTTTTCTTCATTTTTACTGTTTTTCGATTTGTTAATTTTCTGATGTAATATATTTTTTTTTTAATTTTACGTTTCTTGAATTTTTCGATTTCCGATTTTTCATTTTTCTTGTTTCTTCAATTTTTAGATTTTTCTTTTTTTTGTTTCTTCAGTTTTTAGATTTTGCAATTTTTTTGTTTAACATTTTTCCCTAGTTTTATATATTTTGCGATTCTTTATTTTTTCACTTTTTCAAATTTTCGATTTGGAATTTGTGTTTTCAGTTTTCATTTTCTTTATTTTTCAATTTTTTTTCAGTTTTTCGATTTACGATTTTTCAATTTTTCGTTTTCCTTATATCTTCAATTTTTAGATTTTGCAATTTTTTTCTTTAAAATTTCTCGAGTTTTGAACTTCTTTTTTCTATTTTTCTATTCTTTAATGTTTCATTTCTTCAAATTTTCGATTTTCAATTTTTCGTTTCGGTTTTTTGTTTTCTCTATTTTTCAATTATTCGATTTCACAATTTTTTGTTTTTTCAATTTTCGTTTCTTAAATTTTATTATTTAAAATTTCTCTAGTTTTGATTTTTTTTCTGTATTCCGATTTTTTAGTTTCTCTTTTCTTCAAAATTTCGATTTGGAATTTGTCGTTTCGGTTTATTGTTTTCTTCATTTTTACTGTTTTTCGATTTGTTAATTTTCTGATGTAATATATTTTTTTTTTAATTTTACGTTTCTTGAATTTTTCGATTTCCGATTTTTCATTTTTCTTGTTTCTTCAATTTTTAGATTTTTCTTTTTTTTGTTTCTTCAGTTTTTAGATTTTGCAATTTTTTTGTTTAACATTTTTCCCTAGTTTTATATATTTTGCGATTCTTTATTTTTTCACTTTTTCAAATTTTCGATTTGGAATTTGTGTTTTCAGTTTTCATTTTCTTTATTTTTCAATTTTTTTTCAGTTTTTCGATTTACGATTTTTCAATTTTTCGTTTTCCTTATATCTTCAATTTTTAGATTTTGCAATTTTTTTCTTTAAAATTTCTCGAGTTTTGAACTTCTTTTTTCTATTTTTCTATTCTTTAATGTTTCATTTCTTCAAATTTTCGATTTTCAATTTTTCGTTTCGGTTTTTTGTTTTCTCTATTTTTCAATTATTCGATTTCACAATTTTTTGTTTTTTCAATTTTCGTTTCTTAAATTTTATTATTTAAAATTTCTCTAGTTTTGATTTTTTTCTGTTTTCTGATTTTTTAATTTTTCTTTTCTTCAAAATTACGATTTGGAATTTATCGTTTCGGTTTATTGTTTTCTTCATTTTTACAGTTTTTCGATTTTTTAATTTTCTGATGTAATATTTTGTTTTTTTTAATTTTACGTTTCTTCAATTTTTCGATTTACGATTTTTCATTTTTCTTGTTTCTTCAATTTTTGGATTTTTCATTTTTTTTGTTTTGCCACTTTTTAGATTTTGCAATTTTTTTGTTTAAAATTTCTCGAGTTTTCAACTTCTTTTTTCTATTTTTCTAATCTTTAACTTTTCATTTCTTCAAATTTTCGATTTTCAATTTTTCGTTTGGTTTTTTATTTTCTTTATTTTTCAATTATTCGATTTCATAATTTTTTGTTATTTCAATTTTTCGTTTCTTCAATTTGGTTATTTAAAATTTCTCTAGTTTTGATTTTTTTGTTTTTCGATTTTTTAATTTTTCATTTCTTCAAAATTTCGATTAGGAATTTGTCGTTTCGGTTTTTGTGTTCTTCATTCTTACAGTTTTTCGAATTTTTAATTTTCTGATTTACGATTTTTCAGTTTTTCATTTTTTTATTTCTTCAGTTTTTAGATTTTGCGATTTTTTTAGTTAAAATTTCGCGAGTTTTGAATTTTTTTTCCATTTTTGAATCCTTTAATTTTTCATTCCTCAGATTTTTGATCTGCAATTTTTCATTTTGGTTTTTCATTTTCTTTCTTTTTGTAATTTTTTAATTTTTCAGTGTTCCGATGTTATAATTTTTTGTTTTTTCAATTTTCTGATTTACGATTTTTCAATTTTTCACTTTTCTTTATTTTTCAATTATTAATTTTTCTTCTTTCTTCAATTTTCAGATTTTGAAATTTTTTATTTAAAATTCCTCGTGTCCTGATTTTTTTTCAGTTTTTCGATTCTTTAGGTTTTCATTTCTTCAAGTTTTCGATTTGGAATTTTTCGCTTCGGTTTTTTGTTTTCTTCATTTTTACAGTTCGATTTTTCAATTTTCCGATTTTATAATTCTTTTTCAATTTAAATTTTTCATTGTTTTTAATTTTTTTGTTTGTTCAATTTTACGATATGAAAATTTTGGATGTTGCAATTTTAATTTTGCAATTTATCGAGATGCAGTTTCACGAGTTTTCAAATTTTCGATTTTTCATGTCTGGAATTTTTCAGTTTATTATCTTCTTTATTTTAAAAATTGTTCGTTTTTTCAATGTTAGATTTTTCAATTTCCCGATTTTTCAATTTTTCGTTTCTTCAGTTTTTGATTTGCAATTTTTCTAGTGTTCATTTTAAGTATGTAAATATTTATAATAAAAAAAAATCACATTTTCAATTTTACGATTTTAGAATTTTTCCATTTTCAGTTATTGGATTTTAAAAGTTTTTAATTTTTTTAATTTTTAATTTTTTGATTTTTAATTTTTCTGTTTTACGATCTTTCAATGTTACAGTTTTTCAATTTCACAATTTTTCGATTTTACAATTTTTGGATTTTCTAATTTTTTGATTCATTGATTTTTTCGAGTTTTAAGTTTCTCGATTTTTCAACTTTTCGATTCAAAAAATTTTAAAACTTGCAAAATGGTAAAACTGAAAAATCAAAAATGAAAAAACGAGGAAGTATAAAATGAAAACTTAAAAAAACCTAAAAATTAGGAGTAGAAATCAAGAACTTAAAAAATAGAAGAAACTATTCTTAATGCCCTAGGGTATTATTTGGTCAATCACGCAGATATAAATACAGTTATTACACAAATTCGCGAGCCACAACAACAATACTAACATTCCTTTGCGCAGAGGTCTCAGCTTGGTTCGTATACATTTAAAATCCGGCCGTTCCTCCGGGTTCTCGGCCCAGCACTCCTTCAAACACTCCCGAACGAAATCGAAGCTGTTTTCTAAAGCTTCAAGTGGCGGTCTGAAAGATACTTTTCAATTTATTCATTTCACAGATGCTGCTTTTCAAAGCAAATACCTGAAAGGCTGAGGGCCGGGAAAGTGCAACACTTTGGTTAAAATTTCCGTGTAGGATAATTCGATGTTGCCGAAAGGGCCGTGACGACTGTGCAGCTCGTACAGGATAATTCCAAAGGAGTAAACGTCACCCTTTTGAGTGCCGCAGGGGTGGTTATTCGTGATTAGGGATTCCTGCAAGCGGAGCAGCTCCGGGGCTTTGTATAGCAAATCTGTTAAGTGAAATTAGTACAAGGCGAAGTTTCCGTTACGTAATTTTGTCAACGGTGTATTGTAACCGTTACACATTTTTCCAATTGAGGTTGGGGTGAAAACGAGCATGAAAGTTAGATTCGCTCCGCTGCTGCGGAAAGCTAAACATCCGTGTGTTCTAGCCGCGGCATTTAAATTTTAAATTTCGAGATAGTGATTCGATTGATTAGAACCCGCTCCGGAGCGGGGTGGGTAAACTCACTGTAACATTTCTCCCGGACTTTGGCCGGATCCTTGACTCCGGGCTCTTCGGCGCCCCGCTTGAACTCCCGTAGCCCGAAATCGGCCAGTTTGACCACCCAGCGCGAATCCACAAGGCAGTTAGCTGCATGCAAGGCACCGTGAAATCGGATGGGAGAGTCGTGGAGGTAAATCATCCCCTAAACACAGACGATTCATGAGAAATTCCGTACGTACCATAACAACCCTTTGGATACACATATAATTTTACGAGAGCGGGCGAAACGGAAAGCAATATAATGGATAGACTTACTCGGAGAATGTCGCCCACGAGGGAAGCGATGAACATATTGTCCAGCTTTACGTCCTCGTTTTCCAGAATGTCCTACGTGGATTTCTTTTTGTATTTGGTAAATTGGTTTTTTGCGAAAGACGACTTACCTTCAGGCTGCCGCGGGTGCAGTACTCGGTCACTATGCAAATGTTGGGAGGGTCGGTGCAGGCGCCGATGAAAGCGTTGAGATTGTCGTGGCGGAGGTCGCGCATCTGACGAAAAAATGAACTCTTTTAACGAAAAAAGTTAATGGTGTCTGAGATTTTTAAAAATTTTTGATTTTGAAACAGAAAATTTCGAAAATTAGTTGTCATATCGACTTAGGATTATTTTCACTCATTGTGACCTTTATAACTGTGTGTACATGATTTTTTTCATAATTTTTGGCCACCCAGTTTTTCCAGTTTTTTATAGTTATCTTCTTAACAATAACGCCATGATTGCTTCAGAATTTTCGATGATAGTGTCTAATCTTTGACCGAAACCGACTACATTTCATATTTTTGAACTTGGCTCCTCAAAATTCATCTCCTAGAATTTTTTCGGAATTTTTACGCAACGTTGCGAAATTCTCAATTTTTCAATATCTCCCTAAAGACTTTTTTTATCTTTCTTCGAGTTCTTTCGAAATTTAGTGAAGGAGATATTTTTGTTCATTTCTATTCCCTGAAGTTTTTACGGCTTCAGTTTTTCGCAAATTCCTGTCATTTGTCCAAAATCCTCGAAATGAAATAAGGAAATTTTTGAGATTTTTCAAAAATTTGACTTTGTCACCGAATATTTCGAAAACCAATTATCATATCGACTTGGCATTATTTTTTCTTACTGTGTCGTCCTGTCTGCGTGCACACAATTTTTTTCATAATATTTCGTCACCCAGTTTTTCCAGAATTCTTATGGTTACCTATTTAACAAAAATCCCATGATTGCTCCTGAATTGTCGATGATGGCGTCTAATTCTGGACCGGAATCACCTAAATTTCATATTTTTGAATTCAGGCCTTCAAAATTCATCTTCCAGAATTTTTTGTGAATTTTTACGCAAGGTCGCGAAATTCTCTATATTTCAATTCCTCCCTTATGAAACTTTGGATCTTTCTTCGAGCTCTCTCGAAATTTAGTAAAAATGATTTTTTTGTTGATTTCGATCGCCTGAAGTCCTTTAATGCTTCAGCTCTTCTAAAATTCCTGTAGTTTTTTCAAAATTGTCAAAATGAAATGAGGCAATTTTTGATGTTTTTTAAAAAATTGAATTTGAAACCGAATATTTTGAAAATTAGTTGTCAGATCAGCTTAGGATTATTTTCTTTTACTGTCATCATAACTGTGTACACATAATTTTTTTCGTAATTTTTAAGCTCCCGCTTTTTCCAAAATCCTACTAGTAATCTTTTTAACAAAAATGACACTAATACTCCTGAATTTCCCATGATTACGCCTAATCTTGGACCGGGACCATCTATATTACATATTTTTGGATTTAGCTCCTTAAAATTTATGTCCCAGAATTTTTTTTTTTTTAATTTTTAGGTAACTACGCAAAATGCTCAATTTTTCAATACCTCCCCTATGAAATTTTTGACTTTTCTTCTTTAGTAATTTCCAAATTTAACAATTGAGATTTTCTATTGAGCTCGACCTCCTGAAGTCCTTTAATGTTTCGGTTCTTCTAAAATTCCTATAATTTTTTCAAAATCACCAAAATGAAATAGGGCGATTTTAAAGATTTTTCAAAAAATTTACTTTGAAATCGAAGATTTCGAAAACCAGTTGGCAGATCGATTTAGGTTATTTTTTCTTATTGTGTCATCATAACTGCGTACACACTATTATTTTCATAATTTTTGGCCACCCAGTTTTTCCAAAATTCTTATAGTTATCTCTTTAACAATAACGCCACGATTGCTTCAGAATTTTCGATGATAGTGTCTAATCTTTGATCGAAACCGACTACATTTCATATTTTTGAACTTGGCTCCTCAAAATTCATCTCCTAGAAGTTTTTCGGAATTTTTACGCAACGTTGCGAAATTCTCAATTTTTCAATATCTCCCTTAAGAGATTTTTTATCTTTCTTCGAGTTGTTTCGAAATTTAGTGAAGGAGATATTTTTGTTCATTTCTATTCCCTGAAGTTTTTACGGCTTCAGTTTTTCGCAAATTCCTGTCATTTGTCCAAAATCCACAAAATGAAATAAGGAAATTTTTGAGATTTTTCAAAAATTTGAGTGTGATACCGAATATTTCGAAAACCAATTATCATATCGACCTGGCATTATTTTCTCTTACTGTGTCGTCCTGACTGCGTGCACACAATTTTTTTCATAATATTTCGTCACCCAGTTTTTCCAGAATTCTTATGGTTACCTATTTAACAAAAATCCCATGATTGCTCCTGAATTGTCGATGATGGCGTCTAATTCTGGACCGGAATCACCTAAATTTCATATTTTTGAAATCAGGCCTTCAAAATTCATCTTCCAGAATTTTTTGTGAATTTTTACGCAAGGTCGCGAAATTCTCTATATTTCAATTCCTCCCTTATGAAACTTTTGGTCTTTCTTCGAGCTCTCTCGAAATTTAGTAAAAAAGATTTTTTTGTTGATTTCGATCCCCTGAAGTCCTTTAATGCTTCAGTTCTTCTAAAATTCCTGTAGTTTTTTCAAAATCGTCAAAATGAAATAAGGCAATTTTTGAGATTTTTTAAAAAATTGAATTTGAAACCGAATATTTTGAAAATTAGTTGTCAGATCAGCTTAGGATTATTTTCTTTTAATGTGTCATCATAACTGCACACACAATTTTTTTCGTAATTTTTAAGCTCCCGCTTTTTCCAAAATCCTACTAGTAATCTCTGTAACAAAAATGACACTAATACTCCTGAATTTCCCATGATTACGCCTAATCTTGGACCGGGACCATCTATATTTCATATTTTTGGATTTAGCTCCTTAAAATTTATGTCCCACAATATTTTTTTTAATTTTTAGGTAACGACACGAAATGCTCAATTTTTCAATTTTTGGCCACCCTTATGAAATTTTTGACTTTTCTTCTCTAGTAATTTCCAAATTTAACAAAAGAGGTTTTCTATTGAGCTCGATCTCCTGAAGTCCTTTAATGTTTCGGTTCTTCTAAAATTCCTATAATTTTTTCAAAATCACCAAAATGAAATAGGGCGATTTTAAAGATTTTTCAAAAAATTTACTTTGAAATCGAAGATTTCGAAAACCAGTTGGCAGATCGATTTAGGATTATTTTTTCTTATTGTGTCATCATAACTGCGTACACACTATTATTTTCATAATTTTTGGCCACCCAGTTTTTCCAAAATTCTTATAGTTATCTCTTTAACAATAACGCCACGATTGCTTCAGAATTTTCGATGAGAGTGTCTAATCTTGGACCGGAACCGACTATATTTCATATTTTTGAACTTGGCTCCTCAAAATTCATCTCCTAGAAGTTTTTCGGAATTTTTACGCAACGTTGCGAAATTCTCAATTTTTCAATATCTCCCTAAAGAAATTTTTTATCTTTCTTCGAGTTCTTTCGAAATTTAATGAAGGAGATATTTTTGTTCATTTCTATTCCCTGAAGTTTTTACGGCTTCAGTTTTTCGCAAATTCCTGTCATTTGTCCAAAATCCTCAAAATGAAATAAGGAAATTTTTGAGATTTTTCAAAAATTTGACTTTGTCACCGAATATTTCGAAAACCAATTATCATATCGACTTGGCATTATTTTTTCTTACTGTGTCGTCCTGTCTGCGTGCACACAATTTTTTTTCATAATATTTCGTCACCCAGTTTTTCCAGAATTTTTATGGTTACCTATTTAACAAAAATCCCATGATTGCTCCTGAATTGTCGATGATGGCGTCTAATTCTGGACCGGAATCACCTAAATTTCATATTTTTGAATTCAGGCCTTCAAAATTCATCTACCAGAATTTTTTGTGAATTTTTACGCAAGGTCGCGAAATTCTCTATATTTCAATGCCTCCCTTATGAAACTTTTGATCTTTCTTCGAGCTCTCTCGAAATTTAGTAAAAATGATTTTTTTGTTGATTTCGATCCCCTTAAGTCCTTTAATACTTCAGCTCTTCTAAAATTCCTGTAGTTTTTTCAAAATTGTCAAAATGAAATAAGGCAATTTTTGAGATTTGTTAAAAAAATGAATTTGAAACCGAATATTTTGAAAATCAGTTGTCAGATCAGCTTAGGATTATTTTCTCTTATTGTGTCATCATAACTGTGTACACACAATTTTTTTCGTAATTTTTAAGCTCCCGCTTTTTCAAAAATATTAGTACTAATCTCTTTATCAAAAATGATACTAATACTGAATTTCCCATGATTACGACTAATCTTGGACCGGGACCATCTATATTTCATATTTTTGGATTTAGCTCCTTAAAATTTATGTCCCAGAATATTTTTTTTAATTTTCAGGTAACGACGCGAAATGCTCAATTTTTCAGTACCACCCCTATGAAATTTTTGACTTTTCTTCTTTAGTAATTTCCAAATTTAACAACAGAGATTTTCTATTGAGCTCGACCTCCTGAAGTCCTTTAATGTTTCGGTTCTTCTAAAATTCCTATAATTTTTTCAAAATCACCAAAATGAAATAGGGCGATTTTAATGATTTTTCAAAAAATTTACTTTGAAATCGAAGTTTTCGAAAATCAGTTGGCAGATCGATTTAGGATTATTTTTTCTTATTGTGTCATCATAACTGCGTACACACGATTATTTTCATAATTATTGGCCACTCAGTTTTTCCAAAATTCTTATAGTTATCTCTTTAACAATAACGCCACGATTGCTTCAGAATTTTCGATGATAGTGTCTAATCTTGGACCGAAACTGACTACATTTCATATTTTTGAACTTGGCTCCTCAAAATTCATCTCCCAGAATATTTTCGAAATTTTTACGCAACGTTGCGAAATTCTCAATTTTTCAATATCTGCCTTAAGAAATTTTTTATCTTTTTTCGAGTTTTTTCGAAATTTAGTGAAGGAGATATTTTAGTTCATTTCTATTCCCTGAAGTTTTTACGGCTTCAGTTTTTCGCAAATTTCTGTCATTTGTCCAAAATCTACAAAATGAAATAAGGAAATTTTTGAGATTTTTCAAAAATTTGACTTTGTCACCGAATATTTCGAAAACCAATTATCATATCGACTTGGCATTATTTTTTCTTA